GAAAGCTGCAGCTGATAGACAGAAATCGTATGCTGATTTAAAAAGGAAAGAAATTGAATTTCAAGTCGGAGATAAAGTGTTCTTGAAAGTGTCTCCGTGGAAGAAAATATTGAGGTTTGGACGTAAAGGAAAGCTGAGTCCTCGGTTCATTGGACCTTATGAGATTACTAAGAGGGTAGGATCGGTAGCATATCAGTTAGTTTTGCCACATGAAATGGAAAAGATATACAATGTTTTTCATGTCTCAATGCTTAGAAAATATAGATATGATATATCTCACATTGTGACTCCTGAAGAAATTGAAGTCCGACCAGATTTAACTTATGATGAAGAACATGTTCAAATATTAGCTCACAAAGTCAAACAACTAAGGAACAAGACTATTCCATTGGTTAAGGTATTGTGGAGGAATCACAAAGTAGAGGAAGCAACATGGGAACGTGAAGAGGACATGAGGATTAAGTACCCTTACCTCTTTGTATAATGAAAATTCGAGGACAAATTTTCCTAAAGGGGGAGAGTTGTAACATCCCAAACTATGGGTTAGTGACTTAATTGTAAAGTTTCAGAATTTGGTGATTAAAGTAGAAGAATGGATTAGTTCAATGATTTATTTGGAAATAAATCCTAAAAGCTGTTAGTAATTATTAAAGGAATTAAAGGGCAAAATGGTCTTTTTATCTAAAAGATAATTATCTTATCTCTTTATTAAGAGATAAGCATGTAGGGAGATATTTCTCCAGAACTTCTTCTCCTTCTTCTTCCTCTCCTCCCGTATCTCCAAGCTCAAAGGTGAGTCTTCTACTTAGTTAATTATTTGTTAAGTTTAAGATTGGGTTTTGATCATTAGATGATAACTAAGCTTAAGGAAAACTTAAGTTATCTTAAGATCAAAATATAAATGAGATAGAGAAGATTAAAGATTAGAGGTTCTTGAATGAAATCTTGGAATAGAGTTCATAACTAGAATTGAAAGTTATATTTAACTTGTCATCAATCTAGTTAAGATATACGAACTGTTAAAAGCAGAATTCAAACATGTTGATTTATTAATGTAATTCTTGAATTACATATGAAGGATAGGATTTGAAGGTTTAAGATGAAATAAATGAGTATAAATTGGTTTAAGGATGTGTACTATAGTTAAGAATGAAAAAGATGATTAAACATAAAGGATTTAATCCAAAATGAATGAATTTTCGGGTTCAAAAAGAGGATTCTGGGTAGAGTGCATCGATGCACATTCATAGCGGATCGATGCATCAAGGTTAAAACCCATAAATTGTTTGAAGGTGTATCGATGCATTGGTAGTGCATCGATGCACTCTTTTAAAATAAAAACATCGAATGCAATTCATGCATCGATGCATAAGTAGTGCATCGATGCATCCCATTTATAATGAAACATCGAATGCAATTGGTGATTCGATGCATAAGGAGTGCATCGATGCATCCCATCAATAATAATACATCAAATACCTTTTATGCACCGATGCATCAGTAGTGCATCGATGCATACCTTCATTAAAAGATGAAATTGACTTTTCTCTTAGTCTAAAGAGTGAACCATTAGAGTATATTAGTTATAATACTGATATAAATTCATGTGTGATTATGTAGATACTAAAAGTAAGCTTATTCCGGAACGATCAAAGGATTAGAATCGAATCAAAGCAAAGCTAAGGTGAGTGCATACTATATGTATATTATAATGGAATAAGACTTGTGATAAGTCTAATCCCTAAGTTGATTTTTATAATAGTAGTGGTGAACATGCATACATGATATTATTGTGATACATGCATAAGACATATATGTTCATGTGATATGACATGTGATATGAGAACATGATATGAAGTGATATGAGATACATGATCACAAGAGAAATGATATGAGTACATGAACATATGAAATATAACAATAATGCCCATAGTATACGATATGAGAACTATAGGTGTAATTGGCATGCCAAGAGTCCAGGGTATAATAGTCCTTCGGGATGTAGTCCTTCGGGATATAGGGGTCCTACGGGACATAGATAATAGTCCTACGGGACGAATACTGAACTAAGGTTCGGTGCCCCATGAGGGAATTGATATGAGCTATGGTGACAACATTAGTGCACAACCTCAATGTACTCACATACCTCTATTCTCAATAATATACATGGGCTATACAATTGAAATGCAGATTTACAGTGAAAGTGATACAAGAAGGTAAGTTTCCTATGTGCATTATATGTTATCGTGCGATAGATACATGCATATTGAAATGTCATGATCCAATGGTAAGTATGAACATTCATAAGTTTATTGTTGCATATTCATTTAATTCCTCATTAAGTCTATGACTTAGCGTGTAAGTGATTTACACGTAGGTACCAAGAATCAGGAAAAGTGGAAATAGAATTAGCACGGACAACAATACTACTAAGAGATCAGATCAGAAGTAATTAACGAAGTATGTACTTGGTTATGTATAGAATGTTGGCATGTAATAAGTGTTAATTATGAATACTCTGATCGATTTTGTATTTTATGGTCTTATGTAAATTAAAGTATTTTGTTTTAATGAAAGTTTTAAAAATTCCCGGGATTTTCTATAAGAGTCAAGGTTTTGAAAAGTCAATGTGACACCTCAGACTTGTATTCAGGTCGGATATGAGTTAATGGTGTTATAGTCTGCCACTGTTTCTGACGTGAAAACGGATGCAATTGGATGGTTCACGTATCGAAGAGGAAGAGGAAAAACAATAGATGAGAACTAACGATATATAACGGTCCTCGCACATGTTGTGCTGGAGGGATCAATCAAGATTATCCCAACTTGGACTCTGAAATGATCTGCCAAGCCATCATGCCCATCGTAAAAGTAAGCACCCATATAGCTATTGGTGTGTTGATTTCAGCTATACAATTGCAGTATATATATTCCTTCTCATACAGAAAAGCATGGTTGGCAAAGCAGAGTGCAATTAAAAACTTCACGGCAAATGGGATGCATCTTACAACGAACTTCCAAGTTGGTTTAGGGTGGTGCAGAGGTTGAATCATGGGACAATTGTGGACTTCGAAACTTGCCATGCATACCATAATGATCGAGTTCTTCACGATCGATGTCAATTCTACTGGGTTTTTTGGACTTACCCACAGTGTATTAATGTTGTGAAATACTGTAAGCATGTGGTCCAGATCGACGGGACTTTATAGTATGAAAAATACAAGCAAGTTTTACTATTTGTAGTTATCCAAGATGGTAATCGCAACATTATTCCAATTGCTTTTTCCCTTGTTGAAGGAGAAGATACAGATTCTTGGGTTTTTTTTCCTCCGAAACTTACGTTCACATGTTATCACGAGGAAAAAAATCTGTCATTTCAGATCGCAAAGCTGGGATTAAAGCAACAATGGAGTCTTTAGGTTCAATGTGGCAACCACCCTTTGTCCAACATAGGTATTGTATCCGACACATTGCTGCGAACTACCATGAAAGGTTAAAGAAGAATGATGAGCGCCAATTACTTGTGCGCATGGGTAAGTGAAACTGTTGTAGTTTTTTTTCTTTCAATCATTTTCATTTTTTATAGAAACAAAGTTAGTATGTTCTACATTTTATGCTCAGGGTTACGAACTACTACCTCAAACATTTGAATCCATGCTTCAAGATTTGCGGGCGAAGAACGAGGAAGGATACGATTATATCAGCCTCATCAATAAAGAAATGTGGACAAATGCATATGATGGTGGATATTGATATGAGCACATGACGATCAACTTGGCTGAGACAATCAATTCGACCTTAAAGGGGGCACGTCACTTACCGGTAACAACTTTAGTAAAAATGATATATTTTCGTTTGGGAGCGCATTTTGCGAAGCTCAGGGGACAAGCTTAAACATGGATGCAAGACGGTCATGTCTATTACAAAAATTAATTTATAAACTAATAATAAAAAAATAAAAATAAATTATTACTAATAATTTAAATTAAATTAAAATTTAAAAATGTTACCGTATCAGCAAAATGTCTCGATATATGATTTCCATCCAAACGAAGTAGACCGCCTTCCATTTTATAACTACAAAAGAAAAATAAAATAATTAAATAAAATACTAAAAAAATTAAATAATTAAATAAAATACTAACAAAAATTAAATAGAATATAATATACCTTATAAATAAAACTTGATCGAGGTTTGATTTTTGAGAGGATTTGAGAGAATTTGATGTGGTAAAAATAGTTAAGAGGGGTATTTATAGGGTGGGATGGAGGGTGTGAACGGTCGGTTGGGGCGAAATAAATACCGAAGGCGCGACCTATGCACTGTGCCATTCTGATGTGTGTCAGTTGGCAAAAAGACGCGACTCATACACCGCGCCTTACCCTACATAACATAAGGCGCATCCCATGCACCGCGTCTTACCCTGTGTTGCGCCACATCAACGTAAGGCGCGATGTATGGGCCGCACCTTACCTCATGTGGCGCTACATCAACGTAAGGCACGGTGCATCGGTTGCGCCTTTCTACAAAGAATGTTAGATCTGTAATATTATCTAAAAAGATGTTTGACACGTAAATATTTAATAAAAATATGATTTTTCAAGAAATTCACCTTTAATTTGTGTGTCGTCAATTTTTTTTAAAAAAAAGCTAAGAAGAAGAGAGAAATATCAATCACGTTATAAATGATGGCCGATGACAATAATAAAGATGAAGAAAAATATCGATAACCAAGAAAATATGAGATATGAGGGCAATCTCATAAATAAAATTATCCAAATGCAACGTTTTATTATTATTATTATTATTATTAAATTAATAACCAAGTAATAAAATAATACAATTCAAAATTGAGTGATAGAATGGAAAACTTTTAAAATTAGATAACAAGAATAGAAAATTGATAGAAGTTGAGTAGCTAAATGTAGTTTACCTATTTAATATCCTCCTCAATTAAGTTGTTAGTTAAAAATCCTCACCGTCTTCTACTTGATACTTTTCCTATTATTCTTTGATCAGCTGCGCCCCCAGAGCCAACTCTTTTAACTATTTATTTACTGAGCGTGAGACTGAGAAGAAGAGGGGAATTGTGGGGGTGGAGCTGGGGAATATGGCGATATCCGATGCGGTGATTGGGAATTTGATGATGATATACTTAGCAGTGATAGCGAGGATAAAGGCATATGGTTTGGTGAGTGGGCGGAGCTTTGGCGGTGGGTTCGTGCTGATTGTGTTGAGTACGGTGGTGGGTGTCATCTTGGTCGGCACGCCGACGTGGGACGTCATCCGTAAAGTCAATTACGCGATATCCGGCGATCAAGCCGCTTCGGTACACGTTCGAGAGATGTGCAGGGGGGGTATTTGCTGGCACGGCGTCGCTGTTCGTTCGCCCGCCTCTCAGGTCCGGTTCAGGATCCCCCAACAAATTCCGTACCGTTTGTAAAATTCAATTTTAATTTTGCAAAAAAAGAAAAATAATAATAAAGCTGTAAGATAAAAGCGTGTTTTGTTTTTGTGATTGAAAGGGAATAAAAAAAGTGTATAAAGTAAAAAAGATAGGTAATGTGGATAAATACTTCCCCGTAATTTCATTAACTAACCAAAGCTTCTTTGTTTCATGATTGAAACAGAATAGGTCCAGGGAATGCTGTTTAATAAATAACATTGGTCGCCCTACCAACAATAAGTTTAGAAATCTCAAAGAGTTGGGGTGACATTATTACAGTTCTTATATACAAAAAACTGATGTATTGTCATCAGAATAGGTACAGGGAAAACTTTTTTTTTTTTCATAATCGTTTATTTAACTTAACAAATAAACATAAACGAACGATATGCAAACAGTTTACGAATAGTCCATCGAATATTAGGTTTATTTACCCCTTAGGCTAAGCCCAGTGTTTATTATCCACCGCCGCCCCATAACTAATTGGCTTTCCGGAAACAACAGAAAAGGAAACCGGTTTGGGTATTTGTCTTTAGGATTATGGTTCTTGTGAAAATTTTGGGTAATTTACATTTCAGTCTATTAAGCTTTATAATTGGATTTTTATTATCAATATCATTTATGTAAACTTCACTGAATAATTTTCTTATCATTTTTTGACATTAACAATAATCTTAACATACATATGTAATTTATGTGTACTATTATTTGGTGTATCATCAATATAGAAAACAATTTCACCAGCAATATTTATTGTTTATTTACTTTTAAATTTTTAAATGTATTTTAAAAATACTTATCATCTTTACAAAAAATTAAGTTTTTCATTGACAGTACTTAAAATAATTAATTTGATTGAGAATAAGCTGTTCCATTCCCTTCTCGATACCTGTTGACTATCTGGACTTGGCATGGCGCGAATGCTGCAGTTGCCTGCTGGCGATGCCCTCCTTTAAAGCTACAATCTCATCGCTATCTATTGCACTAATTAACCTTATTAATCAGCCTATGGAGCCAGCTAAAAAGACACCAGAGCATATAACGAAGGAAGTTAAAACTGTCTCTCCAGGTTAAAACAGTGTCTCTCATTGTCAGATAACTTTTCAACCCTAAGATCTCTCTTTTTTTGGCGTTACATAAATGGCTACAATCAATCACATCAACAAGAGTCCTCTGTTTCCATTATGTGAATGACTGTATACGGCAGGAGCCCTGGCCTGGCCGGCTGGTCCTGGCTCCGACGTGGCTGCAGATGGCAAATGCGTGATGGCCTACACAGGCAATATCATTTAGATAGAACAAAAAAAGAACCCTACAGCCCCATAACATCAAATCAATGGCAGAGTGGTCCGTTAATCCCAGAGCTGAAACTTAATTGCAGAGCTCTCTCTGCATGTAAATTTTGTCGTTTGGAACCGACCACATAAATACAATATCTCCAAAATCTTTGATTCCTCCCTTCCATAACGTCTCACTCTTTTAACGTACCTATTGAGTGAATGTTTTGGCCAACTTTTGTGCCACTCTCTTCTTATCCTTAATTATTTTCCTAATTTAGTTCCTTAAATACGTCATTTACTAACAAATTATGTCCATAAAATCTCCCATTTCATTAATGAATATATATGTTTAAAATATTTTAAGATTTGGTCGGTTTTCTCACTCGATTTATAACCATCCACGGGCTTCCTTGTTTCATGAGGATGACGCATGGTCTTTTTCAATTTGAATATAAACCAAAGCAACGCAATCGAGTCATGCTTCTCTCCTGACATGAGAGCCTCAGCCTTCAAATTTTGAACTTACCCCCCCCCCCCCATTTTCGTACCCTTTCTGGTTTTCTTATTAATAGCCATCTAACAAGTAAAGCATGAGAAATTAAAAGAGCCAAAAGGGGTGTTTTTTTTCCTTCCTGGCATTCATTACAATGGCTATTCAAGCACAGTTGCATGCTGAAAATATGGATTTACCTTCGTCCATGTGCGGTCTTCAGGATTGGGAGTTAAACCCAGCACCAGCTCTAATTTCTTCCCTTGAACTTGATTCTTGTTTCAATCTTCAAGACCCTTCTGGATATACCATTCCTTTTCATCTGCAACAAAACGCTCATAATTTGGGTTCTTCGTCTTTTTCTTTGGATGCTCATCTGGAGATGCAAAGACAGGAACTTGATAGCGTTCTTCAATGGCAGGCAAGAATTTCCTTATTTTTTTCATCATAAATTTATCACCTTTTTTAATCCTAAAAAAACTGAGAATTATCCTTTTCTTTTTTATGTTCTCTCATGGGCGGGGAAAACCAGAATGAGAGGCTAATATCTACTTTACGAGAGCAAAGAAAGCGACAATTGGCCATCTTGCTAAACCGTATGGAATCAAAGGCCTTGTATTTGATGAGAAGAAAAGACGATGAATTGGCTGGAGCAACAAAGAAAAGAATGGAGCTTGAAGCCTTCCTGAGGAAAGCGGAAATGGAGAGCAACTCATGGCAAAGACTTGCGAAAGAGAAGCAAACAACGGTTATGGATCTAAGCAACGCACTGCAACAAGTGAAGGAGAGCCTAGTCTGGGCCAGAAACACAGCAGAAGACGCAGAATCCGTTTTCAGTGGCTCGTTTGATCATCAACAACAAGGTGAAGTGGAAGAAAAGAGCAATGATAACAAGATGGTTTGCAAGCACTGCAACACAAGGAGATCGTGCGTTGTGTTTCTACCGTGCAGACACCTTTGCTCGTGCGAGTCCTGTGAACCTTTCCTCCATTCTTGTCCTGTCTGTAAATCTATAAAGGAAGCAAGCATCAATGTCTTTTGGGTCTAACAAGAATTTTTGAAACACACTGCTTTCATACATCAACATGTAGTGTTTCATTCGTATTGGTTCGGTGAGAAACCAAGAATGTTGCATCCTTTTGCCTTTTTGGGTTAATCAACATTTTCCTGATCTGGATTGTATCTTTTAAACATGATATGCGCACTCCGTTGTACAATTTGGTTTCGTTTAACTGGAAGACATAAAGATTCTAATGCTAAACTTTTTTATTTTTTTTATCCATTGAAATGACACTTCTAAGCTTTAAAAGGAAGAGAAAGAGAATCTGGAATTTGTCTTAGCCCCGTCGCCTAAAACAGGCCCTTTTACCAGAAATTCTGAGTCAAAATCTGCAAATTACTTTACCCGACTCGGCTGTCTATATTGTAGATACTTAGACTATTGTTTTGTAGAAACTGATTTGGAGCTACAGACAACTGCAAAACAACATCAAACTTTTCCTCTTCTAGTTCCATCAAATTCTCTACCATATACATTAACGTAAGCGTATACATACAGGCATAATTAATACCGTAAACAAATTATACCATCAAAATTATAAATAAATATCTTTTACTGTAAATAAATCGAGATTGATTGAGTTAATTTTTATTTACGTTTGTTTGATTTTAATTTTTTTTTTGATAAGTAATGAACGATTTTAAATTTATTTGTGTTTGTTCGTTATAAATTTTAAAAAATTGTGTATTGAATGGAAAAATATGTTGCAGGAGCACAACTTTTCCATATATATATATATATATATATATTGTTACAAAGGGAAATGAGAAAAGAAATAAAGACTAGCTCATGGTGAAGCCTCTAGGGAACGAAACTCTCTTATTATCAGCGTCCAAAAAAGGAGAAACTTGTGCCGATAGAGAATCAAAGATTACAAGTTCCTCGTCGAGAGTACATCCCACTTTCGAGAGGACATCTACAAAAAAGTTTCCTTCGCGATAAGTATGCTGCAATTTCAGAACCCAATGACATGCTTTCCAGGGCAAGCGGTAATCGGCGTCATCGCTCGGGATCACAATGGTATGGTGGTAGGAGGACATGCCCGAAAACTTAGAGGAACATTCACGGATGAACTGGCGGAGGCTGAAGCTTTCCGAATGGGGATTGAAATGGGCAAGGAAAATGGTTGGCTAAGGTGGATATAGAGGGGGACTCCTTTGCCGTGATTAACAGACAGCGTTCCAAAGATATCGATCTATCCGTTGTGGGTATTCATTTTTCAAACGCTCATTTTTCCTTGGCTGAATCCCCCCTTCTCATGGTGAGCTATGTTCCAAGAGAGGCTAACTGAGTAGCTCATGGATTAGCAAAATGGGCTGTTTCAAATTGTAGCTCTCCTATTTGGTTTGTTAGCGATTACCCTTGTTGTATTTCGAATGCTGTTATTTTGGACGCAATTGGAATTTAATGAATGAATGTTATCTTTTACTCAAAAAAAAAAAATACATGCTTTCAAGCTTCGAATATCTTCAATAATTGTTCCCAAAGGATGTAGGGCGACATCACCACTCTCAATAAGTTGTAGAACCACCTGAGCATCCACCTCACATTCAATGACTCCGTATCCATACTCCCATGCAATGGACAACCCTATTCTTATAGTATGAAGCTCAGCAGCCACACTTGTACAAATACCCAAATGTGCCGTGAATCCCAAAATCCTTTCACTCGTTTCGCTTCTCAAAATGCAACTGGCTCCTGAAACTCCCAGGTTTCCTTGACTAGCATCATTTGTGTTTAATTTCAATCTTCCATATCTTGGAGGTAGCCACGCCACATGAAGGTGAGGGTTTAAATTTCGAGCAGGTTTCCTATTAGCCATCAAAGCCTCCGTTGTTGTAACGATATTAAACCAGAGCCCGTACTCATCATGCACGTAATCATTAGGCTCGAAAATTCTCTTACATCGCACAGTCCATAATTTTCAAATGGAAGTAGCAAACTGTGTAACCGACTCCTGTGATTGATTCACAATATCAAGATTATCGGAAAAGCCAGCTTTGCATATCCTGAGAAAAGAAACTTCAATGCATGGTGCTTGTGATACAACGGTTCCAAATGCTACGTGCCACGGCACATTCACTCAAGATATGGCTCAAGTTTTTCATGGGACAACCGTAAATTACATAACCAGCCGAGTGGGAGACTCCCCAAGAAGCCGTCAAGCATTGGTTAGTAACCTGTCACGCCACGCCAACCATACATAGATTTTCCATCTGGGTGGGATGCATAGTATCAAATTGTGGTTGCGGATTTTATTGCGGATGTGGTTGCAGTATCGCGGTTGCGGATGCTGCGGACATTACGTAACGTGTTGCGGTTGTGGCGGACGTGATACCTTCCTCAAAAATCACAATACGTCTAAAATATTATATTTATACATTTTACATTTATCTTTTTAATATACTAATATTAATATACTCTTTTAATATTTTATTTTAAAAATAAAAATTTAATTTCATAGATAAAAATTTATTAAAAAAAATATAAATCATAAAAGTACTATTATACTTGATAATAGGTAATAACAATTATAATGTTAATGAATAACATACAAACAATATCATTAAAATCATATCAAATTTTTATATCGTAACATAAAAATGTTCATTTTTACATAACTTAGAAAGAAAAAAAATACATAACTACAAATATAAAAATTATATATCTTACAGTTCACCATTAAAATGAATAGCATGATGCATCATAAGATGCATCATTGGTAGGAAACATATTGTATGATAAAATTTTATAGTAAATAGATTGGATAAAATTTTATAGTTTCATAGTAAATAGATAAAATACATATACTATTATAGTATTATAAAGTGAATTCCTCTCTTATACAAAATTTATATAATAATAAATAAACATATAATTATGATACTTAATGTTAATATAAAAAATTAATTTAAAATTACGAGAATTTCTTCAAATAGAGAATTACTCAAGGCAATAAAAAGTTTTTGAGAAGTTTTCTACATTCTTTACTGGTTTGTACTACACAAAGATCAATTCAATAGAAACACATGCTATATTAAACTAGAAATTTACTGATAACTTTATTTTTTGGCATGACCAGTTAGGCCATACCAGTTCAATTATGATGCGAAAAATAATTGAAAAGACATGTGGACATTCATTGAAGAGCCAACAGATTCTTCAAAATAATTTTTTCATGTGTCGTATGTTCACTAGGCAAGTAGATAATTAGGCCATCACCTACTAATATAAATTATGAATCAATTACTTTTCTTGAACGAGTTCAAGGGGATATATGTGGACCTATACATCCTCCATGCAAACCATTTAGGTACTTTATGGTTTTAATTGATGCATCGACTAGATAATCCCATGTATCTTTGTTATCAATTCACCATATGGCATTTGTGAGGTTACTTGCTCAATTGATTCGATTGCGAGCCTATTTTCCAGATTTTCCTATTAATACAAATCGTCTTGACAATGCTGGAGAATTTACTTCTCAGTCTTTTAATGACTATTGCATGTCCATTGGAATAAGTGTTGAACTTCCTGTAGCTCATGTTCAGACATAGAATGGTCTTGTAGAATCTTTAATTAAACGATTTCAATTGATAGCAAGACCATTACTCATGAACTATAAACTCCCAATCACTGCTTGAGGGCATGCAATTTTACTTGCAGTGGTATTGATTCACATCAGGCCAACAAGTTATCATAAAATCTCCCCATTACAAATGGTTCATGGTTAGAAACCAAATATATCCCATCTAAGAACTTTTGGATGTGATATATATGTTCCCATAGCTCCACCATACATAACTAAGATGGGTCTCAGAGAAGGTTGGGTGTATATGTTGGATTTGAATCCCCATCGATAATTAAATATATAGAACCATCTACTGGAAATTTATTTACTGCTCAATTTGTGGATTGTCATTTTGAAAGTCAGCTTTTCTAACATTAGGGGAGAGATCAAACAACCGATAAAAGAAATTAATTGGAAAGAATTGTCATTGTATCATCTTAATCCCCATACTAAGTAATATGAATTAGAAGTTCAAAAGATTATTTATTTACAAAGTTTAGCTAATGAATTACCAGACGTATTTACTGACCCAAAGAGAGTGACTAAGTCACATATACCAACTGTGAATGCCCCAATAACACTTGACGTCTCAGAAGAACAAATTATAGTTTCTAATGGGTCTAATGCACGCCTAAAACATTGTAGACAAATTGGTTCCAAAGATAAGAATCCTCAAAATGAAAATAAGCAAAGAAGAATGATGTTCAAATCAAGGAAACAATGGTTTTACCAAGATCTCCAGAAGATAATTTAGACATGACTGGAAAATAATTTAGAAGAAACTCAAGTACCTGAAAATGAAGAGATATCTATTGATTATGTCATGTCCAATATCAAAAGGAACCAAAATCAAATCGAGTCGATGATGTTTTTGTATACAATGTAGCACTAGATGTTATGAATGACAAAGAGGATCCTGAACCAAAATCAATTGATGAATGTAGACAAAGAGATGATTGGCCAAAATGGAAAGAAGCAATTGAAGCTGAATTGAAATCACTAGCGAAAAGAGAAGCATTTGGACCAGTAATTCGTACACCTGTAGGTGTGAAACCAGTGGGATACAAACGTTTTTTTTTTCATAAAAGAAATAAAAAAGAGAAATTGTGAGATATAAGGAACGCTTGGTTGCACGTTTGATTATGAGGAGACATATGCTCTTGTGGTGAATGCAACTACATTTAGATTTTTGATAAGTCTAGCTATAAGAGAAGGGTTTGATTTATGCCTAATGGATATAGAAACAACTTATTTGTATGGCCCATTGGATACTAACATTTACATTAAACTCCCTAAGGAATTTAAATTGCAAGAAGTAGTGAATTCAAGTTCTCGAGAACATTATTCAATCAAATTGAATAGATCCCTCTATGGATTGAACCAATCTGGATGTATGTGGTATAATCACCTAAGCGAG